GAGCTGGAAAAGAGTCAAAGGAGAACAGTAATCAAAGATGTGATATGGCTGCCATTGGAGATGACTATGTAAGCTAGGACTGTTCGGTCTGAAAAAGAGAAGGCTCACATGAGATGAGGTTGAGGTTACGAAATCTGACACAGATTAAAATAAGGTTTGACACCACATACCTCTCACACACCTCCCAGTGCAGGTGCTAGGAGACAAGTTAAGGCCCGGTTCAAAAGAAAACAAAAAGAGATTGCTCTTTGCACAGGGGGCAGTAGATGTGTGGAACTGCTTCTTAAAGGATGTGTGGCTGCTAATAGCTACTGTAGCCTTAAGGGGAGGTTCAGCAAGTTTGCAGAAGTGAAATTTGTTGACTCTTACAAAGTAGAATCCAAGAAACCACATCTGTCTCAGGAAGTCACCCAGTTGAAAGCGCGTGGATGCTGGGAGAATTTTAAGGGGAAGTATGTTTTTGCTGTGCTCTTATTCATTGTGAGACATCTGTTCATGGCCACTATTGGAAACAGAATACCCAGTCTTTGTTCTGAGGTAGTATGGCTGTTCTTGTATTTCTTATAGGTTGTTTTTGAGCATGATGTTAATATTTCTAATGAGAGGAGTAATGTACCAGGTAACCAAAGGATATCTGTGAGCAAACAATGTGATACACACATATAAAGTAGGCACAGATGATCCTAGAAAGCATGAAGTACTTCGAGTAGAGCTGGGAAGCATTCATGTAATTAAACCTATTCCAAAATATTATGTACCACTCTAGCTGCCTATTCACATGCAGAGGGAACTACTAGGACAGTTATAGAAACTGAGCGTCTGCTTCACAAAAAGCGTGGGCTTTAATTAAATTACATGAGTGGATGCTATTGCTGTTTGTAAATGCATCATGGACAAAATGCCAGCAAGGGAGAAGAACTAATCAAGCTAAAGAATAATATTGACACAAGAGCAAATATGTGTAAACCAGTGATGTGTGAGTTTAGGCATAAAACTGGGGGAATCTTGCCATTTGGGCACCAGAGTTTTGCAGCAGTCCTCCAAGAAATGTCATGGTGTTTAAAGCAGAAAAACTTAAGGGGAGAAAAGGGTGAGGGTGCTCTCAATAGATAACTTCCGTAGTTGAATTAAGCTTGTAGGAGAAGCCCAGTAAAGGATTGCAGAGCTCGCTCTATTCCCTGGAGTTGCTCAAGGCCTCCCTGTAGCCTGCTGTGAGGCTCTGCTGTCTGTTCTGTCTCAGCCAGATTTTGTATTGTTACGTAGCCTTTCTGTGTTCCTATCACTTCCTGACCATGGCCTTTCTAATCCTTCAGACAGTGATTTGGATCTCATCCACCCTTCTGTTTTCTGATCATAGCCACCCTGTGAAATGCAAACACTTGCAGTTTAGCCAAAAGGAAAAAAAAAACCTAAAAAAAAGACAGGGTAAGGTATTATGCAGATTTCAGGGTATTTGTTTGCAAGACCAGGAAATAGAAACAGTGACAGCTGTTAACAGCTTGAACAAACTGTTTGTAGTGGTTTCTTACTCGATAAATATGTTAAACCTTTCCTAGTTTCGCCTTATGTTCTTTTATCCAAGCTGTTTATTAATAAAACTAGCAGTGATGGTGACAGATTGGTTTTCCACAAAACCATGTGTGAAAGTATCTTTAATAATTACCCCTGGTAAAATTCCACTAAATATATTTTAGTCATAGAATCATAACAACTTTACAGCCCTGCATCACCATCAACCAAGAAATTCCCATGCTACTAAATTTATTTACTTCATCCAAGCATTGTAAGAAAGGCAAATAATATTCCTGTTCTAGAGAGAAACTGAGGTATCTAATGAACCTGTTTGAAGTCACACAGTAAAGTTGTCCTGAGTCATACTTTATTTGTACCCACATAGTGCATGGCATCCACAGACGACACCAACATCACCAGGGCTACTGATGCTACTGTACTTAAGGTTACAAGCTTGAAGGAGATGAGAAGATTTGTGTATTAGGAGTTAGTGTGGTTAGCATGTCAACAGGTTTAGATAAAATAGTTCCTTTTATTATTTACGTCCATCCTTTACAGGAGGATGAGAAGTAAAAAAAAACCAAACCAAAACCCTATAACAAAGCAACCAAAAACCAATGACAGAAGGCAAGGTTGGGGCTCTCCAGGAGTGTACAAATAGCAGGGAATGAGCTAGCTAAGCAGCCCCCAGGAAAGAAACAATCCAGTGCTCCTTTTGGAGCACAATGTGATTCTTAGTATCAGTTGATTCAGAGGACTTGGAGAAGGTCTGGGAAGAGGTCTGCTGGGCAGTGATGCTCATCACTGTACATTCACAAGACAAGTGTTGAACAAATGCACCTTGGTGTAATAAATAAAGATATGAAACAGAAGATGGTTTTCAGTGCTTAAATTTCAAACACTCATGTCCTTGAAATCAGTTTCTATATTTTGTGAGTGATACATAGATGGAAACATGCAGAGGATCTGCACTTGATGTCTTAAGTTGACTGCTTTTCCTATAGTAAACCGATAGTTTTATTCAGAAGCTTTTTGGAATCAGTGGGATGTTAGTACTGCACAGACAGAATAACTCCACATTTGTTAGTATTCTGTAAGCTTGAATAATGATTATCATGACCATATGTAATGTGTGCTGAGTTATCACAGTTGATTTATTCTTACTGGTACATTCAGGGTATTTGAAAATCTCAACTATGTAGAGCTTTTAAAGGAATGTACTTAGGCCCTCTACTGAGCATTCTGGGAATAGGAAAGAGGGAAAACTGCTCTGCAATATTAAAATGCTGGCAAAACAGGCTTTTTTGGAAAAGGGAAGATAAATGTAGTAAGAGGATAGAATAAAGAGCTGTTCTGTATAAATAGGTCCATTCCCTAGCATTGTTTTTAGAAATATCTAAAAAAACCCCAAAAACCAGAGCCCAAAATAACAGTTTCAGTAAAGACAAGTTATCCTGGTTTGAGCTGATGTAAATTAAAATCCATTAAAACAGCAAGTTTTGCAAAAAGGCTTTTTTTTTTCCCTTATGTTTTAAAAATACCTATTTAAAATCTAGTGCATTCTGTAGTCAGGCTAGAACCGTAACAAAGTTAAACTTAGGGCATGTTCCTCATAGTAACACTTGTCAACTCTCTGAAGGTTTCTGAGTCAATTGAAGAGATCTTTTATGGTCAGGGAATGGGGCAATCAGAGTACAAGTGTTTAGTTCATATGTTTAACTCTGAGAAGCTGCTTGAAAGTGTTAGGTCTCTGAACACTACTCAGCATCTCTTTCTCCCTCATTTTTGAATGTAGATATGTCAGGGAAAGTCTTGTGGTGCTTTTCCAAGTGTTTGATCATAACGTGAGTAATTGAGTCTAGAGTTATGTGTTTGAAATTGATCAGTATCATCTTGTGTACCATTGATTTCTGTGTATTCATGTTAGTTCAGACAGTGTGGTTACTGCACCACACTTCTGTATGCTTGCAGCTTCTTTAAACCCTAGTTAACATGTCATGTCAGCTCTGTATTAGCTAATGGGTACTTTCAGACATTTGAAAATATGAAGTGTCAGAAAGGCATCAGAACTTTCAGAGGTGAGCCAGTACAAGAACATTACAGAACACTGATGAGAAGTGGTATGATACAGTATTAAAGTGAAACTATGGGGGGATTTTAGGAGAAAAAAAAGTGTCAGGCTGGGCTGTGTGCTTCTGAAGTCCATGCTACAGTCATTCCTATTACAAATGTTTTCAAAGGAAAAAAGAAAGAAAATGTGTATCTGCATTGGCACTATACTAGTGCAACATTACCAATGCATGAATTTCCTCCCAGAGTTCTGGTCCTCGCAGCCTCCTCACAGATCCCTTCATCTTGCTTAAACCTTCTTTTTCCTCCAAAACAACATGACTTCCTCTAAAACAATGTGACTTCCTCTAAACTGGGTTTGGGAGCAGTCCCTGGCATATGCTGTCCCCAAAACTGTGCTACTCCAGACTCTGGGGAAGTCCTTTTTGGCCTGGGCCATTAAGAGATTCATGAGCGTGAGATAAATGGACAAGTGACACAGCCCTGGCTAGTGGCTTGATGCTGAGCTTTTGCTTTGGTGTTTTCCAATTCCTACTGCTCTTTCCCATGGTGGCATGGACTAACTGTTGCAAAACAAATTTGGCAGCTCTGGTCTGATTTGATTCATACTAGAACAGGGGTAAAATTCAATAGCAGAGAAATTCTTAAACATCATTAGCTTTTAACATAGTAGCAGAATCCTGCTATGCTGTGGTAGTCCCAGGTCAGAGAAGGCAGCATGTATGTCAAAATGAAAACATATGGAAAAGACATGATTAGGGTTGTGCTACTCTGGAAGGCATTTGAACACCAGTACTCTCCAGAGGGCTGGAGAGGCACACAAGATCCCCAGGGGGATGGGTTTTGTGAAGTATTTTTCTTGGTAAAAAGAAAAGTGAGTTCTGCGAAGTCTTTAAACGTTATTGCTGAGTATATCCATAACAACAGAACTTGTAATTCTGAGTTCACTGCTCCTTAGCTCTCTGCCTTTTTCACTTCTTCTTTTCTTTTCTCTTTTTCTCCTCTTAATTTTATTTCCTTAGATCTAACTGGCTAAAACCGTGCTGTGGGAGACGAGCAGCTGTGTGGCAGGTATTTTTGCTCAGTGCAAGTCTCAACGGTTTCCTGGTAGCCTGTGTAGTATTGGTGGTGATTCTTCTGACTCTGGAACTCCTAATAGATATAAAGCTTCTCCAGTGTGAGTAGGAGGATTTTTATGCTTTTGTTTTGATGAAATAAAGGCTTAACATGCTGGGAGATTTGTGAAGGGGGGAGGAGGAGGATGCTGGGGATATTTTTTTTTCCTACCATTTAAGTGATTACTAGGCTAGGTAAGAAATGTGGTTTTGTGGAACCCTGGTATAGTGAAGTCTATATGTTTTGCTGACCAAATTCAGTACAGGACAAATTTTCAAAAGCCACAAGCAGAGTGTACATGCGGAGATCAGCTCATATTGTCATTAGTACTTGAAAAAGTCTGTCCTTCACAGACACGCTCCGTAGACGCAGGAGAAAGATCATTTGTGTGTTGTTAATGTCTGATACTTTTCACAAGCATGTCCATAGTCAGAAATGATGAACTTGCTAGGGTATTTGGTGCTTTATTATTAATTGACTCTTACTGAGATGAGTAGGAATTGAAATTACTGTTTTCTATCTTGTAATGCATCTAAATGATACAGAATTTCATTCTACTTTGCTAACACACTGTAAGCCAAATAATAGCTTAAGTGGAGTTTAGCTTTATCTGAATTCACTGTACACAGGTTCCACAATGGAAATTTTAATGCTGCTGTTCTGCTTCCTAATTCATCTCTGTTTTTCTAGTGCTCTTTTCTTCTATTACCCCTTTTTTTTCTTTTTACTTTTTTTTTCCTTTTATGACAGAAAGCTAACATGAACACAAATATCAGCTACGCATTTCCCTATGTTAAATGTTGAAGAGCAACCTCTAGCATGTATGTATAGTCTCAGATATGTTCAAATGGCAGTGGTGGGGTTCAGCTGATCTAATAAATGCAAGAATACATAGCATGAAAGAGTCATGATCTGGTACCTTCTACAACAACTTTAAACTGAGCAAATGAACCTTGTATTCTGTGGAAGTCCTTTTATTTTTGTGATTTGTCAATTGATATTAGTGGAGGCTTAGGTATCGCAGTTGGTTTTAGATTGCTTTAGGGGACTTTATTGAGTATTGCAGTCATTCTAGAAACCCTATAAGATGAATGAATGACTAAGCAGTCTTTCCATGCTGTTGCCCACCATTTACACTCCTGTCTGCCTATACTGCACACTCTGTTCTAAGCATGGCCACTTAGTTACAGTTGTAGTCTGTAGTGACTTGCCACTTTGGATGAGGAAGCCCAGGATTTGGACAAGTCTGTAGCTTTCAAAAAAATGGGATGCTAGTTATGGGTGTACGTCCTTAAAAACTGAAGGAGGAAGAAACTTTCAACAGCGTTCACTGAGGTGCCATATCTTTCTGTTTCTGTAGAGAGTTGTTACTTCTGTGGAGCCAAAGAGTTTAAAAACTGCTTCTGTTGATTTCTCTTAGCTTTTTAACACAGTTGTGGAGATTTTCCTCTGGAAGCACCTGCTTTCTTACCATTTATTTTCTGAAAAATCTTCTAAAGGCGGCTTTATTTTAGGGATCATTCTTCCTCTACATGCCTAGTGCATATGATACTCTTAAAAACTCTGCATCTTACACCTTGTACATGACCTACAGGTGTTTGGTTGAGCCATGTCATTTCACTGTTCAGAGGCTGCCTGCATGGATTTTCTCAGCACCTGAGGAACGACCCATTCCACTCATGTGTTGCTACTTTGCATTGTAACTAATGAATCAAGCCATCAGGCTTCTTACAGTCATTAAGTTGAATACCTTTTATTTTGGTTATTTTGGTGGGATTGATGTAAGTATTGCAGTTGTGCCATATGAGGAATAGATGTAACTTACATTAAGGTTTTAAAAAGCCATTCAGGCCATACAGTTTTAAATTATTCTTTATTCTATATGAAATCAGTAATGCATGAGGATGTGTTACAGCACATCACTGCCAATTTTGTTCATAGTAACAACTGCTAATCCACATTATAGACTGTAATTACTTAGGAAGACTCCTTTATTTTTCTTTTAATAGTGTTTTTGTTGGCTGTGATATTTTGAGAGCATCATTTTCCTCTCATACTTTTAGCACAGTCTTTGATTGTACTGTGCACTTCTCCCATACACAAAACTGTCAGTCCTAGTGATGGAGGCTGCATTTGCAAATGTGTAGGTCACGGACATGAAAGGGACAGAGACCTGTTAGGGTATTTGAGCACAAAGCATATTCATGCCAGAATTAGAAACCTCAGAAAGCAGGGGACATGTAATGGGTCTTTTTTTGTAGGTCTCTGTCTTACAATCACCTATTTTAGTCCTGTCTTCAAAGCTCATCACCTGCATTAACAAAATAAGGTCTCAATACCTCGTGATGTTCTGCAAATGCAGAAATAGACGTATACTAAGTCACTTGCACCTCATCTCAGGGGGAAAAAAAAGGTTCTGGCACGTTGCAGCCCCTGCTCTCAGAAATACAGACCAAGCTGTCCCTTCCTCATCTTCAGTAGTTTCAGGAAAAGCAGCTCAGGAAATCATCTTGGTATGCGTGCATTACCATCCTGCCATCAGCTTCAGGTGTGTCTGTAAAAGTAAACTGTGAAGCTGAAAGGCTCTGCTCCTGTCCATTTGGTTGCTGAATTAGGGCCTTGTCTGAGTACAGGTAAAGCTGTGCAAAGAAGATGCACATTGTGGTGCAGCACTGCCTCAGTGGGAGCCGGTTCCGGGCTTGCTGAAACCATGCAGGGAGCATCTGCTGTCTGCTCCTTGCAGAAGCAGTAATCACTCAGGGTTTGTCAGGATGTGTTCTTCATCCCTCCCTTTCTGGATATCCACTTTGAGGAGATGGGAAGGCAAGGGAAAGGGCGAAGAGGAAGACTGAGGTTGGCTCTATTCTGTGTTTTATACTGAATCATCTTCTTCATGACTAGAAAGCATGTGGATTTGCATTCTTTTCTTCCCCACAGCACCAGACAATCATAATGTGAAATAAAGCAGAATTTTTTGGCTTTTAGCTATGATGTTATGTTTTGGTTTGGTTTTGGGGTTTGGGTTTTTTTTGTTTTGTTTTGATTTTTGGTTCTTTTTTTTTTTTTGTTTGTTTTTTTTTTTGCTGGGAGGGGGTGAGAAGTTACAAGTTGAACACATGTGAAATTCTGTTCCAGATAAAAGCAGAAGCTGAATAGCTTAGGTGCTTTGCCTCGAACTGAATCCCAGTGATATATCCAAACCACCACAGAGCAGGGATGAATACTTCTTGGAGAAGACCTGTTTTTGTAGCTTTTCCCTGCAGGGAAGGGAAGTGTTTTGGAAGAGGCAAATATCCAGGTTCAGTGTATGGGCTGGTGATTCAGCTCTTGCACAAAAGCTTCTTACTTGGAAGGCATTTCCAGTTTTACTGTTTTACTGGCAATTTCACTGCTTGCTGTATGGCACCGTGTCCAGCACTGCTGCATTTAGTTGCAGCGCCAGAGGTGGAGTTTCTTTCCAAATTCGTGGTTGCTGTATCTTACTTTGTCCACTAAGGGGCAGCTGGAGCCTTGTATGTTAATCGACAGCTGGTTGAAAAATGGCTTACGAATGGTTTCCATTTCTTGTTCTTTATGCTACCCTATAAAGACAGTGTCTTGGGAATGTATTTGCCCATTTATTTCATCTTTAGGTAGCTCCTCTGCTGCACCACAGCAAACCCTCTCGTGAAGCCCCAGATGAGCCTCAGCTGGGAGAGTTCCAGTGGCAGCCCGTACTAACAGTTTTCTTTGTATCCTGGTTTCTCCCTACGTCCCTTCCCCCGCTTCCCATTTTCAGCAGTTTTAATTTTAAAATAAGTGCTTTATTTAGTGCATGCCCTGTATGTTCTTGGGACTTAGTTAATTCTGCCAGCCTTGCATCTCTAGGCGCACAGTCACTGATTGCCTTAAACTATGCTTTGAAACTGCAGGACTGCACAGGCTATTTTAATCTGCCTGCTGCAGGGGTGGTAGGCTCACAAACACCCTGAAGTAAAGAGAAAATTTCTTCTCTTCATTCCCTTATTCCAAACTTGAGAGGATGTGACCTTCAATTGACAGCAGTTCGGATCCTGGACCCTTTCAGCTTTGTTCTGTCAGCAATGAAGGGAACTTTGATCACAGAATTTCAGTTAAACTTACTTATTAAGGAATCCTTCAGATCTCGAGAGATTCATTTGAGCCCATACAGATTAACCTGTATCATAGAGCTTCTTACGTAGCCTTGCAACAAACTCATTTGTCTGAGTTTGCTTCATTTTACCTATAAGCTAAGTAAATTAAAGCCTGATTTAATGCCAGTGAGTGTCCGTACAAGGCTTTACTACTCTGTAAAATCATACTTTTAATGAGTTCAGATACATTTTCATGAGTGTTCCTGCCAGCCAGTTCCTGAAAGGTCTTTTGTTCAGTCATTTTACTATGAAAGCAGAATAACTACCTCAAACAATCTGCATGCGTGAAGAGTACTGATATGGGAAGTTAGTGTGTAGAATTAAGAGTTTCATAAATTACCATTTTAACTTACCCTTTACAGACTTCTTTTCATGGAGGAGTTTGAAATTAAGTGAACATGAGCATAAGTGAATTTAGTTGTCACTGTCATTCTGAAGAAGAGTGCTTACAGAGGAAATTGTGTGGCACAACCAATTTCTTAAACTGGAATTTTTATTTCATGTACTGTAACTTCCTTGAGTGTTCTCACAGGAACTTGCTTGAAGACAAAGCTGTCCATATGACTGCCACCTTTCCTGAAACAGACTGTACAAAAATAGCCACATTTTATTTGTTGTACAAATGAGAATTGCTGATATTTCACAAACTCCTTAATATTAGTATATTAAGATTTGATCTTATTAGTGGTTAACAGTTATATTGGTTCTTCCAGTTGTTTCTGTAACTATGGTTTTCCTAGGGTCAAACTTGACTCTGAGAGGAATAGGATCCCGAGCTAGTCCTGGCTGTTCATGTTGGATCAGGAGAACTGTGCAAAAGTCTGCCTACCTAGGTTATTTATTTAAATCACAGGAATGTATTTTTTTAAGCCCAGTTTGAGCAGTAGCTTTTAAGCAGCAGTTCCATACAATTACTGATCTTCTGAGATGAATTGTCAAAGACTGAATATGAGGAATAACATGGGGAGAATATAGCATTCTGTTTCCTTACAGAATTCTGGCTCTGGACTTTCAGGTATACAGGATTTAGTTATACATCTATATGTAAGTCATAGTATTACTAATTATAGTAAACATAAGTTGCGTTCTGCTGCTGTCATGATGCTTATTGTATTGTGTTAATTGCAGTTTCAAGTGCTTCACAGTTTGCAGGAGTAATTCACTGGATCAGCCTAGTCATCCTGTCTGTTTTCTTTTCAGAGGTATGTATAATCAGTGTCTTTCACAACATATGGAACCACAAAGTATTCTTATACTGTCACTGGAATTAGCAAGAGTTTGGCAGTAATTTGACTGTGAATAAATGTAGCACAGTGTACTTAAAGAAAAAAATACTAAAAAAAAAACCCCTAAACCAGTAAAAATCTTGTTTAGATTAGTGGTTTGGGTCAGAATTGTTGCCTGGAATTGTCAGGAAATGTGGAAGATCCTGTCTTACAAATTGTAATTGGAAAACTGTAAAAAGAAATTATCATCTCCAAATCCCTACAGGCTCAGGACTAGTTTCATCCATTTGTTCTCACAGAAATCTTTTCAGTGTCACTGCGTTAAAGGAACAGCAATAAGATATTTTCTGCAGAAATAAAGATCCACAGGGTTATTTAGGGTTTGTTGTTGTTTTTTTTTTACTAAAAGGTCTGTTATGAGAGTGGGATTATCTTCTCTCACAATTTGTGTGGGTACTTTAGATGTTCTGGTTTGCTGCTATGCAGCACAGAAAGAGAATGAAACAAATGGTGAATTTCTTTGCAAAAATGGTATGGATGTATTGTGCTTTGGAAAAGCCTGTAGCCATGATGTCACAAATGACCAGACTGGGATAATCTGTTATAGTTTTCAATTTCATTCCAGAAAGAAGTCATTTAGACTAGTACTGAAATATCCCAAAATACTTGCAAGGCTGGTTTTTGAGGTCATAATGTGTTACTTGTCACAAAAAAATGTTGCATGTTTGTTGAAGATAGCTTGGAGTTAAATATTTGAAAATACCTTTTCCAGGCCCATAGGAGAAAATATAATCTAAACACATGTTAATTCTTCACTCTGTGGTAAATTTAGTTGAAGGATACCAAAAAAATTCAAAAACCAAGGAGCTGTGATATCTGCAAATGAGTTGATAGATCACTTGTGTTGAATTCATACTCACCATATTATACCACTGCTTATTTCCATGGTTCTGTTTATGAAAGACATGTCTTTACATGTATCCCTTTGTATTTCTACTCGTAACAGGGATTTTCTAGCTGGTGTTGCCAGGCTATCAGTGGGTGCTTTCTGAAAGGAGTCCTTGATAACAGGCAGGCTGCTTTGCATCCTAGCTGCCTGGTGCTGCAGTTAAACAGAAATAGGATTACTGTGCCCATCCTTTGATGGTGGTTGTGGCTTGAAGGATACATGTAAGATGACTGAAAAAAAGTCTCTCAACAAAAAATGTTGCAGTGTGACTTTCCCTTGTGAATTGCACATCCTAACTCTCAAATACTCAGGATTGGTAGATGGAGTCCATTAGCTGTAACGAAATCACTTCCTGGACCTTGTTTCACAGAAAACTTCTCCCGTGGGCCTCAATTTCCTCCTGCTGAGGTCTTGTCTCAAGTTCTGTTTTCATTCACTTGTACCTCTAGCCACTCTTCTCAAACCCTAGTGCAGTGTCTTGCTCCTGTATCCCTTTCGTAGCTCAGTTAATATGCTGACAGTTTTGGGTTGTTGGTTCTGGCAGTGGAAGCAGATCCTCAAGGCCAGTCTGTACCATCTCTCTCAAGGAAGAAATCAGTTCTTTTGGTTCTGCTGAGGTAGAGTACCCGCGTAAGTGGATAAACTGGTTCAGAACTGTTTTATGGGAAAACAATAACAGAAGTACTTCACAGAGCCCAATCTGGTTGCCCTACTAACCATGCTCAGTTTGGATCTGTGTTGGCTTTTCTCCTTCTCTCTGTAATAGATTTTTGGAACTAATTTTCTTTGTCTACTTGCCGTTTTCATTTTTTACGAACCACTTACCACTCACTTTATTATCTGCTTCTGTCTTTCAAAGTATCCTCCTTTACCTGTTTGATGATGGTCTGAATTTACACCGAAATAAAATGAGGCCACAAGGCAGCCATGTAAGGTGCACAGAGGAGGGTAGATTTTTGAAACTGGTTCATTAGGCAGCTCAGAGTCCTTGGCTGGGTTAAAGCCACAGCGATAGCTCCACAGAGCAACAGGATGTGCTTCAAAACCCACAGATCTGGAAGAGAATGAAGGTGTGCCTTTCCTATGGGGTTTGCTGGGGTGGACTTGTGCCAGGTTGGTTTAATGAGCAAGAGCACATCTGTTTGTGTTGAAGTGCATCTCAGCAGAGGAAAACCAGAGTGTTTCATTTTTTCTTAATCCAATCAAAAACTTGCTTTTTCAAGAGATTATGAAATATTGCAAAAATTGCAGATCACATTATTCACTCTTTTCATGCCTACAGGGGATTATTTGCCTTCTGATTCCCAGTGCCATGAGTCAGTGGTCTTTGTTTGGAATTATTTGTTGAGAAGATCATGTGTTATAGTGAGATTTTGCAGTCTGTGACTATTTGTTCCAGGATGATTTTCCAGCGATGAGCAGGATTAATTGCATTGGTTGGATATATAACAGGCAGCTGCTAAGGATTGATTAGTCCTTCAATCAGTGCCTTTTCTTTCAAAGCCAAGGATTCAGGGTTTCTGGTGTTCAGAAAGGGTTGTTTCCATAGCAAGTACCATGTCCCAAGGTTGGGTGTTCATTGTTTCTTCTGTAGTTTGGTTCCCATTAGTTGTGAGTGTGAATACACAATTCTTCAGAAAGGCCTCAGCTCAGCCTTAGATGACAAATAATAGAAAGTTGTAAAAGACTTAACTAAAACCCAGAAAAAATTCATCACAAAATCTGACTGTTTGGAAAAACACGACTGATTAAAAGCTGGTGCTGTAAAGGTATTGCAAGTAATTACAGTCTTATGTTGGAGATAAAAGGGCACTAGCTTTCTGCCTGGTTAAAATGAAGGGGAAAAACGTGCCAGCAGCTGGCAAATGCCAGCAGAACAGCTGCCAACAAAATTAAATAGCTCCTCTCACAGCATCTTCCTGCTGTCTCTATGCTTGTGCTATAGCCACAAGCCTTAAAGGAATTTATTGCACTCTGTTAATTTTATATTCTCCGTCACCGTCTGTGACATTACAACGTTAAAATATCCTTATTCAAGTGAAGTGCACGTGAGCTCTTTTTGCTTTTTTCCAAGTATTTGAACAGGATTTACTAGTGGTGATGATTGTGTATATTTGTCTCTGTTTACGTACACCACTATGATTTGTCTGTGCACCAAATGTTACCCAGATGTTAAGGCAGAAAAAAAGAGAAAGACATGGTGGGGGGAACCCCAGTACCAACAGCAAGGCGCAAGGCTGGGGTTGCACCCTGTCAAGAGAGCAAATTCAGCCTTGGTAATAGTTGGCTGAGAAAATGAAGATGGGGAATGTCACAGTGTTTTGGTAAGTGGATTAGAGTCTGCTTATGTTTTAATAGTCTTATCACATTGCCAAAAATACTTGATTCTGCAGCTGTTGTTCAGTTCTGCTTTCCCGCTAAGGTTGATGAGACTGTTTGCGTGCAAGAACAGAGTTCTTGGATATTAGTTGTTTGCATTGTTCTTTATGTGCTTCAGTCAACCAAGCACTCAGGCATTCTGCTAGCTTTCAGCACTTGCGTTTCCCTGGGAGTAACCAAGTCTTCTGATGTCCTTAGGAGTTAGGCACTGTGTCCAAGAACCAAGTTCTCAAATTGAGTACAGTAAGTCTGGGGTCTGAGCTGATAAAGAATTGGTTTGTTAGCTATGGGTCACAAGTGCATTTAGATTTTTCACTTTCAGGAGAAAAAACAAACAAACAAACAAAACCCAACAACAAACCAAACAGCAGGACTTGCCTTATCCTTTATGTTGAATGGAGGTGTCCATGGTAGCTTGGCAATTCTCTCCTTGCAATCCTTTGGTGGAATGCAACCTCCTAAGGAAGACCCTACTATTTCAGTTCTGTTAAGAAGGAAATGTATTTTCCATATAGATTTTTCATAACAAATTCATAATTTTATATTAGAGAAATCAGTTCTTTTATTTCAGTTACATTTTTGTGAGCTTCAAACGTTTGAGCGGAAAGATAATATTCTTCTATTATTTTTATCATACTTCCATAAGCTGTGGCTTCTTTTATGGATGTTTTCGTTCATTCCACATACAAACAACTTTTTTCATGGTGCTTAAATGCACTGCATTGCTGGCTGAGTACATTTTGGTTTTTAAGAGGATTGATTAGGGGCGGTACCTAGGAACAAACGTATGGATTATACATACTAATATAAAGGTAAATTTAAGCTTCCTTCTTTGCCAGTGTGTGTATTTAACACACTGTGAAATTGCTTTTCTAACCACTTTTCTTGTCTCACAAAAAAAAATACTTGCCAGGGAAGATGGCTTTGTAGAGGTCTAGGAATTAAGACCTAGCAGACATCTTTCTGAAGCACCAGTGTGCCCATTTCTTTTATCAGCTTTATCAGTGCTTCATCTGTGCTTTCATCTCTTGATAGTGACAGTCCAGCACCTTCAACACAGTGCATTTCAAAGATAAGAATTGGTGCTAGTGTAATCATGCCCAGAGGGAACTTACGATCCTGGGTTGCTTAAAACCAGTTCTCTCCCATGTGCATGTACCTTATGTTAGTATACTGCATCTCTAGTAAGCCATTTCTATTCCTGAAAAACCCTTTCAAATCTATGGAGAATTGTCAGTTAGAAATTAATTATTATTCTCCATATTCTACAAACAAATATTATGGGAGAACATAAGAACAAATAGAACTGCAGAGTTTATACAAAATGTGCATTTAGATACTACCTGATACCATAATGGTATTGGTAGCAGTCAGTGAAAAAGAATGTACTGCATTCATGCCTATTAATGTTTTGCACTTAATTGTTTGTGTGTGACCACATATGCTAATGGAGCCACAACAGTCCCAGAGTACAGTACATGTGGAGTGTTTTGTACTGGCTAATATGTGAGCTGAGGTCAGTAGTTACATGTTTCCTTTCAGAGCCTTGACTGAAGACAAGCCATGTGAGGAGGATGCTTGTGCTCTGGAACCAGAAGGGTATCTCTATTTAAAGGTGCTAACATGTTCCTCCACGTGCTAGTGGCTGGGGATAGCATGCACTAGAACTGCCAAAGCAGTATCTCGGGACAGGCACACCAGACGATGACACAAGAAGATTGTTTTAAGTAGTGAATGAGTGAAGGCCTCTGTGGAGTGGGCTAAACCAGAGAGGTTATAAATTACAGACTGGGTATAAGGTGTTCTTTCTGGGAAAGATTTCAATAGATATTTGGTCTTATGAGATACAGCCAAAAGGCAGAAGCTTAATCTTCAGAGTTTCTATACAAGCCAGAGGTAGAGACTCTCTGAAACAGATTGATTAATTATGTGGCAGAGGAAAGAAGGAAGGGCTCTTCTAAAGACACCATTCCATCCTGTCTCTCACTACCCCATCTCAAAGTGCAGAGTTGCTCTCCTTTGCTGTTAGCTAACCCTGTTGGGCCAGCTTCACCTCCTGCACTGCCTTCTTTTGATTTCTTTACACTATGGATTAATTTGACACAGTGAGTCATCAAGTATTAATTGTGCATTAACTGTGAAAGCAAAAGTGTGTTTAAGATTACCTAATGTGGGCTGCAGTCAGGTGACAAATGTAGCCTAGGTCATGGAGACTGTGGGAATTCACATGGCTGGCTCAGCAAAGGATTTGGCCAGATTTTCCTGCAAAATAAGAAAACCTGCAGCACCACACAGTTCTTCATAAATTTCACTGCAGTCAGTTAATGTTGTGCAACCAACTGGGTGTGACCAAGGGAGGCTGTGAACATCACAATTAGATTTCTGTCCCAAAACTGGTTTAAAATTTTACCTTTATCTGGATTTACTCCAACTTAAAGAAGTTAACAGAAGCATTCAGTCATTTATATTTTATTAGCGCACTGGACAAGCTTTTATGCAATAGCTTAGCTTTTCTCAGAAAACAAAAAATGTATTTCTAATATATATGTATATGTCAAGGACTTTCTAATGAAAAGATTTCCAGTGAAGAAATGTTACAACATTCTTTATCAAGTACAAAAACTCAAGCTGGCAGTGGCTGTTCACAGAAAAGTATTTACATTGATATTTGATGTTGGCTTTCAAATCTGTGTTCCAGAAATACAGAATGCCTGTAGTTTGGTCCATGTACAGTGTGTAGATTATTATTAATTTCTGTATCTATCTGGGTTGTTTGGTTGGTTGTTTTTCCCAATTTTGCTACAGGTTATTCCCAATTTTGCTACAGGTTTTGATTTTTATGTTCTGTATAGAGTACACATTCAAATGCAATATGTATTCGTTTGAAAGATGGTTTTGGTTACTTAGGAAAAATGCTAAGATGTCATTGATAAATAACGCCAATGCTTTCATTTTAGTCAAAGTATTTATCATGCTGAACAATCGGGGAGATTTGCCCAGTGAAGTCCAAACTAGCTTGGTTGGGACCTGAGTAGCAGGCACAGCAGTAGTAGTGGATGTAATCTCATGCTTTGTTCAAACAGGTAGAACAGGGAAAGCTAACCCCAGTTTGGAGTTGCCGCTGGTGAAGACTGGCCAATGGGCAGTAAGTGTATGGCACCCGGGTCTCCAGACACACTTCCTTGGGGTGTCCAGTTCCCTCAGGGCACCAAGGAAAAGCTGCCTTACCTGGCTTTTGTCACTTGGGTGCTGCTGTGGGGATTCTTGTTAAGTGACAATGCTGGTGCATAGCTTTAAGACCTTCCATAAAGAACATGTATTTTTAATGCTTAAGCCTCAGTTGTGCCCAGTTTGTGCTGAAGAGTGCATCTCTCGGGTGGGGAGCTGGTTAGTTCCACCCTCATGCTCTTCCTTCCTACAGTGTCTGCTCTAACTGAGAGCAAAGGTGCTCTCATCATGGCATTTTCTGTGAGGAGACCTTCCAGAGCTAGCACCTTCGAGAGGCAGCACCAACAATTGCATGGAATGTCTGCTGAGCAGACTTCCAGTCATTGCTGCCTTGTGCTGATTCACCCCAGCTGACGGAAAATGACAACATTTGTGCTAGCTTCCAGCCCTTCCAACTGCTCAGACCCCTTAACATGGCAGTAGCACAGTTTGATTTGAAACGCTGCAGTGAGGAACTAAAAAGGCAGAAAGGAAAATCCTTTTTATGTTCTCTCAGCAGCCCCACGTTAGATAATGTTTAGAGTTGTGAGACAGTGTTTCTGTTTTCTTTGTGCAGATGTGCCTTATTATGTTAGTGAAAATACCTTTGTGCCCACCTGTCCAAAGGGAGAAAGATTTTCACCGTCAGTTACTGTAAAGGTATTAAGTGTTCAGCCATCCTTTAGTTGCTTATTGACCTAGCACTTCATAAATGCTGCTTAAGCATAGTAGCAAATGAGCCAGATTTCTCTATGCTGTCAGCGGGGATGTTGTGGGAAGGGTAGTATCCCAAGCTTTGAAGGAGGCCCTGCTTTTTCTCATTCATTTCCAGATGGCTGCCCGCTGTGGAACTTGCTGGGTTGGACCCCAGGTTAACTAATACAGCTGAGCTTATGGGCTCATAAGTAACTTGTACTTAGGCATTTTGTGCAGCTTCTCAGTGGGGAGTGAGGGAGGTACCTACAGAGGAGCCTGGTGTGCTTTTGTCTGAAAGTGTTCTGCTCAGGGCCTGAGTCCAGGCTGCAGAAGTGCCTTGGTTGTACCGCAGGAGGTGTGCTTAGGCCTTGTGCTTGCATCACACCACATTGTATCACATTGTGATTGCAAATTTGGAGTCATAGAGGGATTTGAGGAGCTGCTCTTGTGCATCTCTTCCTCCACATATAAACTTCGAGTATATAGGTTAATAAGAAAATTGCTGTGAGCCTTATTCCTGTGCTGCGTTTGTAAAGTGATTTGAAAGTAAAGTTTTGTTCTTAGGACTGCAGACCAGCAGCATGAGCAGTTCTTGGTGTCTCTGCAGAGTCCTGTAATGTTTTTCAGAGTAAAGAGCACGCTGCGTTTTCTCTTCTGGCCTGTGACTGCCTTTCTTAGCCAGACTTGGCCCGTGCATCACAGACTCCATTTCTGAGTCAGCAGTGGCTGGGTCACTGTCCTGCTCATTGACAGTATGAGGCTGAAAGCACCGTATCTCCCACAGCAATGTCTCCCTCTGCCAAACAGGATTAAGTGCTGTTATCGACGTCTGGAGTGCCAGGATAGAGCTCAGCACAGCCATCCCTGGACAAGTGAGGCAGTTGGGCTCATGGGGTTTGGCAAAACCGTGCATAGGAACAGTACTAAAAAGTACAATGTTGTTCTGCAATTAGTTAGTGCTGGTGTGTTTGGCGTAATATATTTGTATTTGGAATGAAGAGGAGGTGCATGTATTCATCACAGTCACTTTTTTCTGCACAGTTCTTGGCACAATCACCCCTTAAACATAGACCTGAAGAGCTCTTGGTTGTTAGCACTGTTCTCCAATGGAGAAAGTAGCATTTTGATCTGCACATAGCTGCAGTTGGACCTTCATGTCTGTAGTGTCTGTCAAAATCTGGCCTTGATATTGCTATTGGCAGAAAACATCCCTACCAGATATGTTTTTATGTGAATTCAATTTCAGTCTTTAGTTGGCTGACTGATATTTTTATTTTAATCTTCTGACAGCCAGGTAGAAACTGAGGAAAGGTGCCATTGGATTTTGTAATGGGAATTCACCATTGCCTCATTCTGCATTCTTTCTCTGTTTTAGCTGCTGGTGCTACTTATAGCTGTTTTGCTTCGTAGTGGAGGATCACAGAGATATTTTTCTCCCTTCTACTATCACTTTTTTAGTAAGACAACAGCTCTGTACTCTGTACAGAGAGGGAGAATTAGAAACCTCTGCTCTTCAGATTGATGGAATGTCAATATCCTTAGGCATTGAGAGGGGGCAATGCCTCTTTTCATAGAAAATAATAAGCACAGGCACATCAAAGATGGGAAGAAAAGAGAATCTTTCCACATTCCAACTGAGGAGGCCCCACAGTGTATCTTACAGAGGCTTGGGACAGGGGTTGGGCTGTGAAGGATTGGTAATCTAAATCTCACCAGTCTAAAAGCAAACTTTTAGAAGGATGGAAGGACTGATGAAGATCTGAACTTGTTTATGGAAGTTTCACTGAGTCAGTAAAGTGGTTGGAAAGCAATATCTGCTTTCATAATACAGAACTGCAGCTATTTCTAGATCCTCATTATTATTCAGAAGAAAAGCATAATGCTTATGTAAGACAAAAAATGATCCTATAAATAGATGTAGGACTAAACATTTGTCTAAAATTACAATAACATTCATCATTTCCCCCCCCCCCCAATCTGTTTTACTAGACTATTTTGAGGATTGTGGTCCTTGGCATATGGGATTACATTGAAAACAAAGTAGAGGTAAGCACTCTTACTCTTTGCACTGTTTTCCAGGCAGACACAGCAAGAATATTAAGAACTGCTTTGGGTGGTTTTTTTGTAGACCTGATGCAATACAGCATCTTTTAAGTCAGATAAATAAGCTCATTCTTCTCATTCTATGTATGTATATATAGCTGTATGATGCGGTCCCTTTTTCTGTGAGAGACTCAGAGTGTGACTTTCTGAAACATTTTATGAAGGGAGGGTCATGGCTTTTCTGCTCTTTGTGTCTGTGTTTTCTTGTTAGGGCTGTGATAGTTTAACTTGGTATCTCTACCCTGAGATAATGAACAGTACAGGTTATGTGACTTGTTATATCATTGTTATTATGTGACTTGTGTAACCCCATTCCCGTAATCAGGTTGAAATTAGAGCTGGCTGACAAATTCTGTGTAGTTTTCTGATAGAAAATACTGGTTTGGCAAAACTCCCAATTTTATTGTGAAATTATTTTTTAATTAAAATTAATTCTGACAAATACCGTAATTTATACCTCAAATTAGAAATGAGGTAGAATGTGCACACTATTGCAGAGGCAGATAAGGAAATGCATGTGTTTAAATAACTCATAATCCAAATCTGATCAGAAAAACTAAAAGCTCTTTGTTGATACTGTCCTGATACACTAATACTGCACAGGGTGCACCTGAAGAAAATGTGGATTTCCTCAGAGCTGAAGTGAGTCGAGAGGCGTGCACATTTTTGTAGTGAAGTTGTAAACTTTTTAACTTTTTTTGCTAAAGAACTGACGTGAAACTGAAGTTATTGATTCAGAGATTTTTATTATGGAGGCTAAATGCAGCAGTTCCTGATAATTTTGTTAATTTGGAATGGAGTGATACTGTTTACTGCCCATCAAATGGTCATAGTAAGAAGTGTTTCTTTTCAATACACTGAATTGTTACGCACAATTCTGAATTCCTTATAAAATCTGATGTCTTGCCTCCTTATGCAAACCATTAATCACTGCTCTTTGGCAGCAGGAAAGGGTCTCAGAAGGAATGAGAACGTGGTATTCTGTTCTAGGCTAGGCGAGTGTAGGACAGACACAACACTATTGCCAGTTTGGTCTGAAATGTCTTTACTCATGGGTTTCTAAGATGTTGCACAATTGCCTTTTCTGATCTAATCCCAAGGCAACCAATGTCATACAAATCATTCTGAATAGTTCCAGTTGTCAAAACCCTTGAAAACCTATCTGCCCAATAAAGGTGAGAGCAAGGAGTCTGTCTGTCTTGATGCACAGCCATTGCCACACACGTTGCATAGTCAGGATGTGGCCAAGAGCCATCAAGTCTCTTTGCTCCATCTTTTTCTACTTGTCTTCTTGATCTCTTCATTTAGACAGTAAGATCTATGGGCATGGACCGTATCCTTTTTTGGGATGACATTATGCCAAGTGACAGGTAATAAATACCAATGATAATAAAACTCTTTGGCTGTAATAGCATTTAGGCTATCACTTGTGCTTGGGGATTTTGGCCAGTATTTCCAAATACCTTTCTCTCTCCCTGCCCTCCCACCACAGCTTATGTCTCCTCACATCATAAAATGCACTAAGGAATTCTGTCGTGCTACCTAAAAAGGATGCAGCCTTTCTGTGGCTGGGCCACTTCTCATATCCCTTTCAAACATGTACCGTAATTGCATTTCTTTTGGGCAAAGTGGAAGCTCTGCAGTGCTATGATCTCTATTAGAGCTTTGAAAAAACTGATTTCTCTTTAGGTGTTTGATGGTGCTGTCATAATCTTGTCCTTGGCACCAATGGTGGCCTCAACAGTGGCTAATGGCCCCAGCAGCCCATGGGATGCTATCAGCCTTATTATTACACTACGAATATGGAGAGTGAAGAGGATCATTGATGGTGAGTGGTGATTCAGTTTGTGACTCCAAGAATTACCTGGCAGGCTGGGGGGAGGGGGAAGACATTTTAAAACCATGTAAATATTGTTTGTCACCACTGTTTCTATCATTCTCCTTCCTCTTATTTTTCAAAACATGGAACAGAAGAGAGTTGTGATTCCCGTGGAGGCGAGTAGGTCTCAAGTTCATGGCTATATCTCCTGTTCCCTAGGAGCCTTTATAACTGATTGGTTTAGTTTTCTGTTGGGCACCTTCACAGCCCTGGTCTTGCAAAGCCAATGCTCTGACCTGCTTCCTATCTCCTGCCACCACATGTCATTCCTGATTCTGCAAAATAATTGCTTTCAATCTGCCTTCCTGATACTTGCTGAGCCCTCCCCATTTCCATAGAGCTAGCTCTGTCTTGGGGCTTTCTTTTCCTAGTTCTCATCTGTAGTACAATTTTTACGTCAGATTCCAGGAGCATTTTCTCACCATGGGGGTTCCAAGCTGAAGGTGCTCTCTGCAATGCTGCGTAGCGTAATACTGAAGTGTCTATCGGTGTTGTTTTGCACAAACCTCTGGGGGGGGAGCACCAGGGGAGATAAGAAAGCCCTAGAAGCGAAGGTTGTGGAGAGCGGAACCAGTGACTGTTCAGCAGTTCGAGGCATTTCTTGTTACAGGGAAGAGAATTGGAAGAGCAATTAAGGAAGGGTCATTTTGCTTATGCAGGAAAGATCAGTCAAGTTGTTATTTTGGGTTTAGATGTCCAGGAAACCCTGTATTCAGAGTTGTGAAAGGGCTGTAGCCCTGTGACTGAAGTGTACCAGAAAAGTTGAGGATCTCGTGTAGCTTCAGAAAACATCAAGAACTGCAGTATGCACTGAACAGCTTTGCTGGTCAGTCTGTGTTTGCCATCGTTATGACAGGAGCAAAATGTCCAGAGTCTTTCAGAAGACATTAAAAACTGGGCTCTAGCTTGAAAAGCAATAGAAGATAAATGTCTCTTTGTTTTTAAAATACCCTTCCTAGTCTGCTGATTCCATTAAGGACTTATTTCTTACCACAAAGTCTAGGAATTAAATGCTTAGTGCTCTGGAATAGTTCTTTTCCTAAGGGAGCCATGCTGTTCAGGTTTAGAGGAGATGGGTCTAACTCTAAGCAGAAAATCCTCCTAGCCAGCAATTCAGGAGATCTGTGGTAAACACTGAAAAAGATTTGTATTAGTGCAGCAGAAGCTAGGAAAAGCATGCAGAGGATGCATTTCAGCTCAGCTAGGCAGATGGAGGTCTGACCCAACAAGACCTAGATACCACTGACCTGCATTTCAGATGTTGGAGATCCTTCCCCAGAAGAAATGTTCTAGTGCTATTTCTGTAAGAAGTACTCTAGTTCTCTAGATGCAAGTGAAAGGGGTGACATTCTTTGGCCTATAAAGGTCTGTACAGGGTTTCCCTCTCAAGGCAGCTGGGTTACTTTAAATGCTTATTTGTGTTTTCCAGCCTATGTCCTTCCAGTGAAAGTGGAGATGGAGATGATGATTCAGCAATATGAGAAGGCAAAGGTTATTCAAGATGAGCAGCTGGAAAGACTAACCCAGATCTGCCAAGAACAAGGGGTAAAGTTCAGTTATGTCTTTATTTACGCATAGCTTGTCATGGCAAATCAAACGGTTTGTGTACGTTGCTGCAAGCTAAGGTTTGAGAAGTATCACTAGGACATCTGTTGTAAGGTGACAAGTCTCTGTTAAATATTAGTTGCATTCTGGATGTTGTCAGCATGCTATTTGTCAAAGAGCAGTTGTCTCCCTCTGCTGCCGTGCTTGTATTTTTCAAGGTGAGTATAACAAATTTGAAGAAGAGAAAAAGAATTCTTCAGTATGCAACTTACTGAATGAGTACAAATAGCTTGTAATACTAAGAACATGAAAAAGTCATTGCCTTTGTTGGATACTGCAGGTATGTTAAGGCTTTATTCCCAGGAAAGGTATATGCAATGGAAAGCTAATGAATCTCCCTGCTTTCAATGTAGAAGGCAGCTTCCCTGTTGGTCAGTCAGAGACTTATTTTGGCAGACTCAGAATGTTGCAATAGAAGCTTCCAGTTTCTGGAAGCAAGTCAAGATTTAAAACTTTTCCCAGGCCCCCAAATATTCAGTGATTCAGTCTTGAGGTAAGGGAAGGTGAAGCTTAAAATATTGCAAATGAATATATATAAATGAAGAAGGTGTAAAACTACTGTTAGGGCAATGAGCCAGGACTTTTTGCAGTTTGTCTCATGCAAATGAGTTCTTGAATAACCTGCTTTAACGCAGAAACCAGAGATGTATGTTGAGGCCCAGGCTAAGTGAGCATTCAGATGACCATAAAACCACAACAGAATGATCCCCCAAGTGACTTCTTGTTTTAGCTGTAAGGGTAACTATGAGGTGTCCAAACAAATAATGGAGATTTCCAGCTTCAACTCCCACTCCCCACTTGTGGTAGGTGCTTTTCAAATACAAAACAAGGAGATCTGAAAGTGTGGATGGCTCCATCAGTCAAAAGGTCGGAAGGCCTGAGCAGGCAGCCTGGAGAGGCAGCTTGTCCCAGAACAGATCAACTGCCCAAAAGGTACAGGGATTTAGGTGCCCATCTTTTACCAAGGAACCTAAAATACTTGTGAAACCATCAGTATTTAGGTCCCCAAATGGCTTTTTAAATGTAGTTCCAGGTCTCCTGGGTCTCAACCTAGGATTTTGCATTGAACTCTTGGTGGTGTTAGGTTGCCATGTCTGTGTGATGAACTTGGCAGGCCTGTTGACAGTGTGTGTGTCATTTGGTAATGCTGCTTTTGAGTCTCTCACATTAACCATAAGAAATTTCTAAACCTGAGGCTTGGCTGTTGCCAAGAATCAGTTACTTCGAACTATGTAAGTGTCTTCAGTGGCAAAACTGCAGTCCTCTTCACACAACTGCACAATCATGTTAAGTGAATCATGGTTCTGTCATGGTTGTGAAGTGAACAGGGAAATGGTATCTACCCCATTTGATGGAGGAGATGCTATCCTTTGGCCAAATGCACTAGGCAGATTGGCGATGTCTTAAGTCTTGTGGCAGTATTTTGTCTGTAATCTGGGTTCAGCTACAGCAGTCATTTTTTTTCTCCTTCTTAGTAGCTAGTGCTGTGTTTTTGACTTTCAGTCTGGGAACAACGCTGATAACACCCATGGTTTTAGTTGTTGCTCAGTGATGTTTACTGTGACCAAGGACTTTCTCAGTCTCATGCTCTGCCAGGGAGGAGGGGAAGCCGGGAGGAAGCAGAGACAGGACACCTGACGCAAACTGGCCAAAGGGGTATTCCATACCACAGCACGTCATGCCCAGTATATAAACTGGGGGGAGTTACCCGGAAGGCCCAGATCGCTGCTCGGGTCGGGCTGGGTATTGGTCGGCGGGTGGTGAGCGGTTGTGTCCTCTCCCCTTGTTATTCCTCTTAGCATTATCATTATTATTGGTAGCAGCAGTGATTTGTATTACACCTGGGTTACTGGACTGCTCTTATCTCAACCCGTGGGAGTTAACGTTCTTTCGATTCTCCCCCCCATCCCTCTGGGAGTGGGGGGAGGAAGAAGTGGGGGAGCGAGCGAGCGGCTGCGTGGTTCCAAGTTACTGGCTAGGCTTAAACCACGACAGTCTGTCAGACCGTGCTGTTAGGCTAAAGTTCTTGACAGTCATCAATTTGAAAACATTCATGTTTAAGGAAGTGCATTATGTAGCCAGATAACACTCACAATCTCTAAACAATTTTTGGTGTTATTATTTCATAGCCTTTGAGTAAAGGTGGATTATTATCCCGTGTGGGGTTCAGGAGCAACTTTTGCTGCTCTCCATTCTGACCCATGTGCTCCTTGTCTGCATGCCTGCCTTGCAAGGTGTCTGAGCATAGTAGCCCTAATCAGAGCTCTGATGGTTACAGCATAACTATATATCGAGCACAAAGAAATGCTGTACTGGTAAATGAGTGAATCTGTGAACAGAGCAGGTTCTCCCCTAGCTTTCAAATGTCATCAGCTATGGAAAAAAATGGACTAGAGAAAAATGACAGCATACTAATCCCTCTTATTTTACTGTCCTGACTTCCTGCCAAACAAATGTCTCAGCTGTGTAGTATGAGGTAAATGTACTAATTTGCTACAGTTAGCAATGTAAGACATTGATACAAGTACTGCATCTTCCCTTTGTAAATTCTTAGCTTCATAATTCAGTCAAGAACAAGTTGTCAGCATTATAATATTCACATTGTGTACAATATCTAGCGGGGAAAAATGTCTGCTAATGGCATTTAATGTCTAAAATCCTGCCAGGTTTTTGCTGTTTCATTTGATGATCTTTCCTGACCTTTTTAGAGGATTGCTCATTTGTGGAGTTGAAGTGAGCATCTCTGTGGTTTTGAAGGGAGCTTTGCCTGCAGGAGTCTGGCTGTTCTCAAATCTGGAGCACTGGCAGGGAGGCATTCCAGTTTGCCTTGTCTGTGTGGTGCCACCTTTGGCATGGGCTGATGGGATAGGTGGGAGCTCCAGGGGGTGACTGCTTGCCTCGGATACTTGCTGGGGCACCCCAGTAGAGAGTGGGCTGCTGGGCCAGCCACCATGTTTGCCTCCATCCCAGCAGTGGGTGTAGATACTGATACTGTAGATACTGAGGCCGCATCTTTGTGACCACACTGATGACTTGCATTTATTTAGTAATTATAGAGAGATCTGAAAACATTCCTGTTAGGAAGGTTTGCCGGCACTTCCTTTCCTAAGATCCTGTGTTCAGTTACCAACTGCTTTGCTTCTTGTCAGGCAACTGGGATTGAAATTCTCAAGGTTTGGCATCTTCTGCAGATGAAATGATTTTGAAAGTTTCAGACAAAATATTCCTTACTTCTAAAGAGGAAATGGGGGGGAAAAATAGTTTGTTTTGGTCAGCTATTTTGTGGCTAGTTCTGTGTGAAGTCCCATGCCCACCTGTGTGTAGCTGGTCCTTAGCACTTGATAGGCAAAAATAGAGTTCTTGTTTTAAAAAATTAAAAGCAGGGAAGAAGCAACCTCCCTTCATCTTACTTTTTGAATGCTGTTGCTTTTGCCAGTTATATTTTTGGCCAGTGGTATCACAACTATAAAGTACATTTCCATTCCTGAATGACATCGGAGATGTACTTTCGCAAATGTGCAAACTCTTTCCAGATGTTGATTTTTGGCTAGCCATACGTTTGAAAACCAGAATATATTTTAAAAGTTATAGTTGCACGGACCACCGCTTTGTTCTCTGTAGTGCCCCACTGGAACTGTTTGAAAGGTTTGCTCTTTTATTTATTCTCCATTGGCCAAGAAAGAAGTTGTTGAAAGGGAGCGGAGCACACGGGCAGTCAAGGCAGAAAGCACTGCAAGGGCTGAGATGGCTGCATAGGACTTCCCAAAACATAAGAAGCATTAACAGGGACAGTAACGAGGATTTCCAGCAATGGGTAAAGGTAAAGAAGCCTCACTGCAGTTACTGCCAAAATTATGAACAGACTATATTGCTGATGCTATCAGAATAAGTTAAGTTGAATTGCAAAACAAAGTTCCAAAGTTTCATTAACAATCCACATTCCAGTCAGGAAAGATTGCTTTTTTCCCCTCTGGACTCACCTGTAAAGGAATTTCTATTTCTGGTAATAGATCTACTTACATGATCTTTTCTGCTTAACTTTCATGAGAGTCATTCAGCTGAGCACAGACCAAGCAAGACTGTGTGTTCAGCCTTATCACAAGAGCTCCTTTTCTGTCAGCTCCTGTAGAATTGGGGTTTTCATCATTCTCAAAGCTCCACCAACTGTGGGAGCTATAATTTCTTCTTTATCTTGGAATATAATTTGTACAACAGCTGCTAGTTTAATGACAGGGCTATTTAGCTGGTAAAATTACCTATCGGGGAAATAACTTATGTTATCCTTTTGCAGTAATTTTAATTTATTTCTAACTACCAGTCATTTTCTTGGGCAATGGAAGGCAGCCAAGGTCATCCCAGGTTTCATTCTGCCCGTAAATCATCAGTTTGCAACTGTCTCCTGATTTTTATTGTTATCAGCAATGGCTGAACTAATGGAAATAAACATTGGATTGTATCCCAGTGGCAGATGAATTTTAGGGCAGGGCATTGTGTACAGACAGCACTAACAGAATTGAGCAAAGTTATTGCTCCTGCATTAGATATGAGTAAGCTTCTGGCTAAAATTCATTGATCTCTCTGAAACTATGTCAATCATACTCTGTTGCTAGACCATTACAGGCGAGTACTGTATGATTCACCGCTAAGTCCCTTTTTGAGTTTTACATGCATGTTGTGAAGTACCAGATAGGATGGGTGGCATGTAAACTGAGATATTATCTGGAGCTCTGCATAGGTGTTGGGTCAGCTTACCTGCTTATAAACAATCACCTGATGCATTCTTTGAGTGAGGAAGTGCACAGTGTGCCCCATAGTTCTCTCTGCTTTGTTTCCTGCCAAAATATTGCTAAGTTTGTGCTACAGGAGGACATGGAGCAAGTTTTAAAATGCTAGGTTTAAATTTCCCATCAATGAACTTTCTTTCAGGCTAAAGGAAGGGTGGTCTGCCTGGAAACGCAAAACACGGTTTTCGGAGTACAGCTCTCCTGCAGTACTCTGTGTTACTCAGGTCTGCATTCGGATAGCTACATCAGCTCCTACTGCAATAGAAATTTCATGTGTTTAACTTGGCCCAGAATTTTTAGTTAAAAAGGCTGTTATAGTTTATACCTTTTAATGATTTATTTAACGTGCCCTGGATTGCATGACATGCAGTCAGAGCAATCTCATTAGCTCTTTTACACATTAGAACTGCCTGAGGTCAGTGTTCAATATAATGTTCAGTAGATATAAGCACCTACCACGTAATTTGCTCATGCAGACTCTCATTGAATTATGCCCGTAAGGAACACTCACTTCTCTTAGAGTTAACCTTTGTTTTTAGTGGGTTGCTCTTAGTGCCTAAAACTGTATTCCAGCTTCTAAAATACCTTGTGATAATTTGTAAGTAGTAATTGGAAACAGTATTGAACTGATCTCCTGAGCAGATGCATGCCAAAGATCTGTTTCTTATTTAACTTTTCCTAGATACTTTATTGAAAGTCCTTTTCATTTTCTTGAATCAGTCCATATGATAAATGGTGATTTTTCTATCCAGTCCCTTTCTGAACATGCTAGAAACTTTAGAGAGTTTAGGTTTACATTTTGGAAGCAGCATATTGGGTTTTGGTTCTGTCTTATGCTCTGTGTCTGTAGCAGAGTTACAGTTCTGCACCTCAGTGGAACACGTTGTGTGGATCACTTTGCATCAGCAACTGCGCATGTGGGAGTGAGACAAACACCATTATTACAATGAATACCCTCTTCCCTGTCAATAAAAAACTGACAGTTACACACATAACAGCATTTAATTCTAGCTTTCCACTGTTTTAATGACTACATATACTTCAGGGCAAACATGGATGGGACCTGGAAGCTGATCGTTTGAGATAATGGAAAAGTGGAAGGGGGAGCCTGTGTTAACCTGCTGCAGCTGCGTGGGTCTGTAGGCAACATTAGCTTCTGCTGTTATCTTTCTGAGCATCTCTGCGTGCTGTTATACACCTTGCACATAATGTTGATGTCCAGCTCACTGTGATGCATTACTATGTCTAGGAATTCAGTCCTCAGATCTGCTCTTGACAGTCTCACGTTCAGCTCTGCATTTCAGACCAGCTGAACTAGCTCAGTGTTAAGTTGAAAATAGACAAACATGTGGATTGTGTTTGCAGCTAGCAATAAAAGAGTTCACGTATCACTTAAAAAATTGCAAGTCCTGCATACACTTCTAATCCTCTGGCATTGCATGAGCCAAGACATCAGGTTTTGGTTTCAGTTTCTGCTAGAATGTGACTTTAGTGCGATCCTCACCAGCAGGTGCTTCCTCTGCGGCTCTAGGCACAAGCGTGTACTTCTGTCTTTCAAACATGAGATGGCAGCAAAGCCCCTTCTGTGTTTTGACATTGGTACCAGCTGTTCACCTGAGTAACTGGTACTCGCTTTCCCTGTGGATTCCACTTTCTCATGTTGTCTGTGTGACTGGGATTCACCCACGATAGTAATATTTTTCCCATGTAAGTAGGGAATCAAGAACTGCTTGGACAAAGTGTAGTTGTCCAGCATGGTGATCCCAGCAATGGTTGCAGACTGCTGCTTGGTCCAGCATGCCAGGCTGAGTAATTCATGCCTTGTTGGCAGAGCCGTATTAAACAATGCAATTTATGAATTCATCTACTGAAAACTGGCTGGTGGCTGGGCATGGGAATTGTAAAAGATTGATAAGACTGGATATTTGGAAACGTTTGCTTTATCCATTGGAACATGTAAGCAGGCATCAGAAAGTCTGGGCTCTTCCCTAGTTTTTCCTGTAGGTTCACTGTTGTGCTGCCTTTTTCACATCTGTAAAATGCACTGATTCCCTTCAAGCTTTTGATTATTACAAGGTCCAGCCAATCATTGTGAATGCTTAAGCTGGTTAAATTGAGTGCCAGAAATCCAATTCTTGAGCTGGCTTTTAGGTAGTTTTATCTATTTGTGTTATAAAATACCTGCTAATTTTTTACTTTTCCTGGAAAAAATATGTGGTACCCTGCCTCTAGGCCAGAATTAAGCATTTTAGTGGCAGTACATCTTTTCTGACACACAGGAACATTTTTGAAGGATGAGATGTGAAATGCAGAAAACCAGTGGTGAGGCCTAATACTTCTTGCCTTTTAGTTTGAGCTAGACAGGTAGACATGGTTACACAATCATTATAAAACAACCCAAACACCTCCAGTTTTATTTCTTGCTAATAATGTTTGAGTGCACTTCTTTTTTTAAGCCAAGGGAGTTTCTGACAGGGGAATTTTCTCCCTTTAAAGGTGAAATGTAAGATATTTTGGGATTCCCCCCCTGCCCTAAGCCAAGGATAAAACCTGAAGTTCTCTGTGTTGTAAAGTTGAACTCCAGACAGCCCTCTCATGGCTGATAGATACGTTCATATTGACGCCTTAAGCCTCAGGAAGCTTGGGGCTGGCTGGGAAAAGAGTTAGCACTACCAGTTTGCTGCTGCTTCCTAGCTGATAGGTTGACACAAAAACCGCCATCTGGAATCTGCCATGGACGTTTCATTGAAGGAGTAGGGCTGTATTTTGATGTTTGCTGATACTCATTCCTCTGACTGCCACTGTCAGAGGTTCTTTGATTAAGAGCAGTGAGTGCTTCATGCAGCCAGCTGTCTGTAGGTGCCAGACCAAGGTCCATCAATTTCAAGACAGAGAAAAATTTCAAGACAGAGAAAAAGCTGAGTGCTTTGTTAGATTCCCTATATTAGGTAGTTTGAATGTGATCTGGAAAGTTTAAACTGTCCTTTTGCTCCCTGGATTTGAGTCTTGCAGTGAGCCTTACAGTTACTGATAGTTCCTTCCCTTATGCTCTGGAAAGCAGATAGTCTCCAGATGTGGCAAACTGGAATCCCTTTTTCTTTCCTCTTTTTTTCTTTCTGAAATCTGTGGAAACTCTGTCTTATTAACCTTCCAGTTGCTTGCACAGCTTGGAGGAACTGCTGGTGCTCTGCAGCGTGCCTGAGGTTCACACCATGTCTGATGTGGACCGCAGTGGAACAAACTAGGTCTGCTGATGGATTCCAAAATCTGATAGCAAAGTAGGTCTGAGTCAGGATCTGAGAAGCAAGAGCCAGAACTAGATTCATTTAGCCTACATGCTGTTACACACCAGTTTTCAAGCATCAAGGTGCTAATTCCATCTCCACTGTAAATGCGGAGTGACGAGTGCAGTGTGGCTCGCTGTAGCGTCATGCTCTCTGGTGCCTTTTCAGGCCTTGAACCATGAGAGGCCCAGAAATGCTAAATTTTAAATGCCTAAGCCTGTTACTTGCCTCATTTGCTTTCTCCTCTCAGGATCTCTATAATTAGACATGAGTTGGTCACTGCTGTACTACTGATGTTAAAAAGAGTTTAAGAAAGAGAAACTCTGCCACACAGCCCCATAGTTGTGAGGGGAAGGATAGTGGGATTTTGTAGTGCTTGTGTAAGGGTGTAAAGGGTCTCTGCAGCCTCTCCAGAAGAATTATTTTCCTTCTTGTGTTGTGGAACACCCGTGGCTGTCAAACACCAGAGAAATGTGCTATGTTCATCAACCAGATTGTACCTGGTAGCTTCTGTCTTTTTGTCAGGTGTCTGCTTTGTAGCACCAGTCATGAGGCAAATCCCCTCCTGATTGCAGAAAGTCATCAGCTGCTGTGGCTCGTATATTTGAGGGGAGCAGCCAGAAAGGTAGCAACCTTCCTCAGCATTTTCTGCACACTGTTGAGTACAGAAGATTTCAAGCTGGGAAACTGTGGTGTCCCTCCCCCTTGCCCAGATAGTGGGGGAGGACCATTCTGAGTACTGCTTAGAGAACCTCCCTCCACAGAAATCCTCAATACAAAGTCCAGCAGGTTAGGGATGTTTGTCAGGATCCTAAATCCCTAAATGTCTGTTAAGAGTGGTCTTATATGAAGATTTCATTTGATCTGGCAGTTTTAAAATTGTCCAAAATCCTATCTTCAGGATGCAGACATGTACAAAATGGAAGACCTGGATGAGGCAGTCATTATTTCTAGATTATGTGAACAACAGTCCAGCTCACTTGGGCTTTAGGAGAGCATCGGCAGCTTGGACTCGCGTCCTGGCTCAAGCACATTTAATTTGTTTTCACCAGTCTGTAGTTTAGAGGCAAAATGAGTAATAGGTCCCCAGCTGTGGAATATAGACTTCTGACTGTGCTTGTATGACATAAGTATGTGGTGTTATTTTTTCCTACAGTTTGAAATCAGGCAACTGCGGGCCCACCTTGCTCAGCAGGATTTGGACCTGGCTGCAGAGAGAGAGGCTGCACTGCAGGTCCCACATGTGCTGAACAAGCAGAGCAGCAAGAGGTACAAGGTGGTACCAACTGAAGATTCGGATGATGAAGCCACCGAGAACATCACTGAGTTGCGACCTCCACGAGGTGAGTGCTGCCTGTGTGTTGCTACCCACTGACACAGCTGATCCCTTGCATAGAGCTGCTGATACCACTAGATGCCTTCACTCTACCAGTCAATCAATTACTTTCCCTGGAGACTGCATTTTCCCATTTTTGCAAAGAGGCAAGGAGCTGTTTGCAGGAGCTGTTGTATTTGTGAACAGATTCTGAACCAGAATCTGTTCACAATAAATTGTTCAGAGCCAATAAAATGACTTGGGAAGAAAATGACTCTGTACCTTCCCAGTGTCCTCATGCTTATATCCATTAAACACTAAAGAAGTAGCAGCCAAATCAGAATTGGCAAAAGGATAATCACTCAGAGGTAAACACAGAGAAATTGAGAAGAACATTGAAAACCAGTTTTGGTCTCTGGCCACTAGCATTTCTGTGCTTTAGAGAGGACCCATGTGTAAGCTGTGAAGCCTGCCTTGCCTAGAGGCTGTGCTCTCACCAGGTTGCTTAAAATTGCCAATTCTGGCCAGCCCAGCTGTGCTTGGGCAGGGCAGCTCTGGTTCCAGAGAACGAATGATGTGCTGTATGGGCAGCTCCTGCTTGTATGTCTAAGTGCTAGGTGACTATGCATTCCATTGTGTGTAGCTGTATGTTGAGCAGGTGTGTGGTTCAGGACAGTAGCAACAGTTATTTATTTGCATCCATTTTTATCACAAAAGTGCTAGACCAGAAGTAATTTTGGGTAAGACATAGCTCTTTTTCCTGTGATCCCCCAACCCGAACGATGGAGTGCAGAATGTGTGTCCTGATCTCAGTAACATTTAATGTAATATTTCAGAGGAGACAACACTTTCTACCTTAGTGATATGTTAGTCTTCCTTGGACATCTTAGCTTGATTATCTTGGGAGATGAGCAGTATGTGAATCTATCTGAATTAGAGGTTTGGATGGTATCTTTATTTGGGTCAAACGCCTCAGAATTCAAGGCACAGAAATACTTCGATCAAAAGATTAAAGAAAAAAAGCTGACTGGGTATTTTCAAATGATGATCCTTTCCATTCTCTACACAGTAATGGAAGCACATAGAATTAATTTTGTTTTTTCCTCTTTATAATACCCAAGTGCTAACCACAGTTCAGCCATTAATTATTCCTGATTTGAAATTGTATTTAAAAGCAGACAGTTGAGCAGGCTGCCCCCTAAAATGCATTTCCCCCTTTTCTGTAGTATTTCAGAGGTCTCCCCAGTGGATATATTATAATTTATGCATGGGTTCCTTAAGGGTTACATTTGGAACTGGGAGGAGGTTTGCTGAAAGTTTAGTGCTGTGAAGATTCATCTAAAAGTTCTGTCCAAGGTATTCATTCCAACATCCAGGTTAACACAACTGCTCGCTATTTGGGTCTCCCTGAAAAACACTGGCCGCAGATGCAGCGAAGTAGATGCACAATCTTCAGGGTTGGTTTCTGTGTTCAATTAGGTTATGTGATTCACTGAAAAAAAGACATTCAGCAAATAAGAAAACATGCATTACTTTATATACCGGGAAAGGTGTAATTATGTTGTATTTAAACATTCATCCTGAGTATAGAGAATTTACTTCGATTGCCAGCAGTTATCTTATATTGCATACAAAGCCTTCGTAGATGCACTGAGTGCTTGTCTTCAGAAGCTAAACTCCGGTGACTGTGTTTTAACAATTGTCTTTTATGTTGAATGAGGAAGGAATTGGATAGAAAATAATTCCTGTGGTCTTACAGCAGGGAACACCCATCTGTGGATGGTCGACTACCAGCAAGGGGCCCAATTAAAACAGTGTCAGAAACCACAAAGCCCAACAATAACACTCAGTGCTTTAGTTCACAGTCCAGGTAGCAGGCAGTTGAGGCAGAGGGTTTTGCATGTAAAGTAGTAAGCTACCAAAGCTTTGAATCCTGCACCAGCAAGGCTGGCTTAGAGATTGCTTCTGTGTAAGCTAGAGGAGAAAGCAGTTACCCCTGGGGAAGGAATATCATGAGCCAGCCCTGCCTGGTTTTGACCCTTTCCACCTCAACTGGGTCATTCTTCTCCAGCTCTCCCAGCAATGTGCTGGCTGTTGCTGCAGCAGCTTTCACATTATCACTTTGGCATGCTGACAGCATTTTTATTCCTCTACACTGATGACTGATCTGACCAATAAAATATCAACAAAACCTGAATGTGGTATGTCAGATAGAAGAAGAGCATGTTTTCAGGTGAAGGTGCCTCCATTTGCAGTGTGGAAAGGGTATATCTGGTCGGTGTAGAGTACTCCTGAGACATGTCTGTGCAGAGCACAGGTTATCAAGCCATTTTCTGTAGGTAATTTCTTTGTCCTTCTACTTCTCACGTGCTGTGGTTACACTGGCTGTGCTATCTTCAGAGCTTTCCATGCCACTTGCTCTGCCTGGAACTGGAAGCTACCGGTGTTTTTAACTCCTGACTTTTGGGTCAAGGGTTATGTTTTGCAAGTTATCCTCTGTGTCAGACCACATTAGGAATTGCTTTGCATCCATTTTCTCTAAGCTGCATTTTTCCTCCTTAAAGATTCCTGAGTGATGACTGCAGTTAATCATTCTGTGTGCCACATGGCATTTGTGAGCTTTGAAAACATCTGCAGTCTCCTATTACACTGATGAGTTGGAGGACAAATAAGGGACTGAGTTGGTAATACTGTTAAAAGAAAAGCTACAGTTCAAAGCCACAGTTCAGCTGTTAGGCAGAACAGGCTCTGCTGCGCTGTTCTCTTATGTGCTGGCAGAACATTAGCCCTACATAGGACACCTGAGGGTAGGGTATGGCATGGAAAGCATGTGTTTGTGCCAAATTTAACTTTGTTAGCCTTCAAAAAATCACTGTCTTCAGCGTGCCCTGAATTCTGCCAAACCAGCAAGCTTGACTTGGCTAGTGTACATACTGCATAAGAAAATGGGGTATTCCATCTCAAGCTAATCTTATTTCCCCCTCTATACTGAACAATGGAAACATTCAGTGCAGGATACTTTACCGCCAAGGGGTTATGGAATAAGAAAGCATTGAGACTTTTTACTCATTTCCCTACCTGGGAGTTTTATGGGATAGTGCATAAGTTAAAGCTCCTCAGGGACAGCTGTAGCTTGTAGTCTAGTATTTACACTGGATTTTGTGCAAGCATTTACTACAGCATTCAGCAAAGTAAGTCAGGTAACCACAACATAGAATCACAGAATAGTTAGCTTTGGAAAGGAATTAAGATCATCTAGTTCCAACCCCCCTGCCATGGGCAGAAACACCTCGCACTAAACTATGTCACCCAAGGCCCTGTCCAACCTGGCCTTGAGCACTGCCAGGGTTGGAGCACTCACTACTTCCTTGGGCAGCCCATTCCAGCACCTCACCAATCACATGGTACACACAGCACCTCAGGGGATCTGTGTAGAGTCACACACACTGTGGCCTGCACCTAGAGAACTCTATGTGCTGGCTAATTTGGGCGCTTTCAGTACGTGTTTTCACCCAGCTTTTCTTTCTGAAGATCTTTGTATCTGAAGTGCCTTAATTGCTGGTACGAGACTGGGAGAGGCAAGAGCTCTAGTCAGATGGTCACCAGGCTCTGAAAGTGTCCCAAAACTGCCCAGCTAATATTTCATGCCTTTTCTTGAAAGACCGCTTCTGCAGGCCACACAGCAGTAAGCTGTTTGAGGCCTGGGCAGTCCTGTGCTAATTCTCTGAGCAGTACAATGTTAGCAGTTCCTCCTAACATTGTAGGAGTAAGTCTGTGGAAAATGTATGGATATATGGTATTTTCTGATTAATTTGGCTAAGAAGCAGGGAAGTTTTGAATGGAGGTTTTCTTCGTCTTGCCAAAAAATTGATCTCCGGAGTAGACAAATATGAAGGCTGAAACACATGCTTTCAGCATGCGAGTCAAAGGGTACCATTATCAACAGCAGAAAGCTGGTGAACTCCAGAGAAGGGCATGACTCTAGGAGCTATAAACCCGGGGTAGAGCTGTGACATTTGCTGCACTGTGAGCACTTCACTTAGCTTCTCTGCCTCAGTTTGTAAAGAGCTCAGGGTGAAAGCTGTTATATGCGAATGCACAGCTGCATCCCTAATGGTTTTCAGGACCATTGTGGTCAGCCTTTCCCTAAGAGAAGGGGAAATATCCTAAGTGCTGTCATCTCCTTTCTTCTTCCCAGAGACAGTTACCATTTGACATAATGGGAAATATTACCCTATCTGTTGATCTCTAAATGATAAAGGAGTTTTTTTCTCTTGCTGACTTCCTACCTCATGCAGCCTGTAAATGGTCATGGTCAGAGTAACAGCTAATGTTTTCTGCTCCTGCACAAATCATTTTTAGTGTTTGGTATACAAAGTTCCAGGCTTCAGGGAATGCCAGGTTCACAGTGCCCCATCTTGCCATTAATACTTCCTTCCAAAATTTATTATTCTTTAATCTCTCCCATAATATATGAATTAGAGTCCCTAGTGGAAATTCCTCATTTTCCTGCATATATCATTCCAGGTTTTGAAATTTTACAGTACTGCCATAGTTTAAGATTAATATAACCACCCTTCTATTCCTTTGAGCAGGAGCTGGATTCTAGCTCTGTTACATTGGATTGCAGAATGCTTGTTTTAGCTATTCTGAGTCAAATTTCCATTTTTATGGGGTTAGCAGTAAGTCTGTTGCTTTGGGGGACTGCTGCAATTTATGATCGTGCATGGAGAAAAGTAAGGCTTGCTCTCCCTATAGGTACCCACCATTTTGGAAGTGAAGGAAGTAGGATATCGGGAGGGGAACATGAAAAGTTCTGGAGCTTCAGAGGGCTTCCTTTAAGATTATTCCTAATCTGTCTGAGAAGACAGAGCGCAGCACTGGAGGGGATTTTGTCAGTTGTGCCTTGCAAGGCAGTCTGAGCTGGTTGAACACTTCTACAATCTAAGCCAGTTCCTTTGGTGATCATCTGTTAATGCTCCGAGAGCCCTGTTATTGCAGAACAATAGATAAAAAGTAGTTTATGGT